ACTGAAACCGTAATAGAAATTGCTCTGGAAGGTGAATCCTGTGGTCTGTGTGCCATCACATACTCCTGCACTTCCGCCATCAGTACTGTCAATATTTCCAGTGGTACTGGCTGGGGTAAAAATTCCATCCTGGTCCTCATTTCCTTTTGGAAGGGGGTTTCTTCCATGGCTGGTGGGGTATAACGCTGCGAGCTCTGTCTCCCTCCATCAATTCGGCAATCAGCACAGCTTTTGGCTTATTGCTGGCTATCTTACCCCTGGCTTCCAATAGTTCCTTTAACGTCTGCCGTTTCAATGCAGTGTAGTCTGTCTCCATTCACCTCTGTGTTCGGTTCTTTGTTGCATCTGAATTGCCATTCACTTTCCTGTTCGGTAGTTTCAATTACCCGAACACTGCTTTTCGGCTGTAAGGTTGGATCCCGTCGCTTGCCACCAATTGTAGCAGAGCTGCAATATTAAATCCCAAGATCTCCACTGGTACAGAAAGTAATCCAAAGTAAAGCGCTGGAAAAGAAGGCAATATCTCAAATCCCCCAGTTACCGGACGAAATACAGTTCTGGGGGTCAACTGACGATTTTATTCACAAGCTCCAGTATTTATGTGATTCCCCATGCAAGGGGTTTCCTTAGTCACTTTACAGGGGTATTACAGTAGAGGACTACATGGGGAACGGAATATACAGAGCATTTCTCCCACCATGCACTGCTGCACGTGAAGGATACTCCCACTAGAATATCCTGTTAAGTGGATTATCCCTCCGTACAGCAGAACCGGATTTTAACATAAAAATGTATAACTTTAACATTATTCGTGGGATTATAATAAATGACCATTCGGTAGATAGCTGGGGTCTGTGCCCACACTTTGTGAAAGTCCCACTCAGATCCCAGCATAAATAACCGAACGTCGCACGAAACATATTTTTATATCAAATTCTCCTAAAAGTACCGAATACCTATTGGGAACCAAACTACCGAAAGACCGGCGCTCCTGAACGGCCTGGAAGTCCAGCGGTGTTCGCGCCGTCTAGTAGCCGATTTTAGTTCCAGGCGCTGGGCTAACAAAGGATCCAAGATAGCCGACAGCCGCGTGGTTGGTAGATGAACGAGGGCCACCTAGGAAGGCAATTAACTACCGATTGCAACATTGTTAATGGGCGCCAAACGACCTCTACATATCCTCTATATATTCTCCATATAACCTCTATATATTCTCTATATACCCTCTATATATCCTCTGTATAACCTCAATATACCCTCTATATATCCTCTATATATCCTCTATATAACCTCTATATATCCTCTATATATCCTCTATATAACCTCTATATAACCTCTATATATCCTTTATATATCCTCTATATATCCTCTATATAACCTCTATATACCCTCTATATATCCTTTATATATCCTCTATATATCCTCTATATAACCTCTATATATCCTCTATATATCCTTTATATATCCTCTATATATCCTCTATATAACCTCTATATACCCTCTATATACCCTCTATATAACCTCTATATAACCTCTATATATCCTCTATATAACCTCTATATACCCTCTATATACCCTCTATATATCCTCTATATAACCTCTATATAACCTCTATATAACCTCTATATACCATCTATATAACCTCTATATAACCTCTATATATCCTCTATATAACCTCTATATAACCTCTCTATAACCTCTATATATCCTCTATATAACCTCTATATAACCTCTATATATCCTCTATATATCTTCTATATATCCTTTATATATCCTCTATATATCCTCTATATAACCTCTATATATCCTCTATATATCCTCTATATATCCTTTATATATCCTCTATATATCCTCTATATAACCTCTATATAACCTCTATATATCCTCTATATATCCTCTATATATCCTCTATATAACCTCTATATACCTTCTATATAACCTCTATATATCCTCTATATATCCTCTATATATCTTATATATAACCTCTATATATCCTCTATATATCCTCTATATAACCTCTATATAACCTCTATATATCCTCTATATAACCTCTATATATCCTCTATATAACCTCTATATACCCTCTATATAACCTCTATATATCCTCTATATATCTTATATATAACCTCTATATATCCTCTATATACCCTCTATATATCCTTTATATATCCTCTATATATCCTCTATATATCCTTTATATATCCTCTATATATCCTCTATATAACCTCTATATATCCTCTATATATCCTCTATATATCCTTTATATAACCTCTATATATCCTCTATATATCCTCTATATAACCTCTATATAACCTCTATATATCCTTTATATAACCTCTATATATCCTCTATATATCCCCTAAAAAACCTCTATATAACCTCTATATGTCCTCTCAGGGCCGCCATCAGGTTGTAACGGTTGTCATGGGCCCGGCGGTCCTGGGGGGCCCGGACTGCTCAGGTTGTCCGGGCCCCACATTCAGTGGTGTACATACCGGGTCGCAGGGGGCCCTGCGACCCTGGTATGTACCCACTGGGCCAGCCTCTTCTCCTGGGGGGCCCAGCAGCCGGTCACCTCAGGGCCCCCCAGAGGCTGGCCCTGCTGACACACGGCAGGCGGGCGGGCGCGCGAGGGAGCACTCTCCCTGGCTGAGTGCATCCTCTTCAGCTCCCTCGCGCACCGCACTGACGTCATCTTCCAGCACCGGCATCAGTACGCGGCGCGCGAGGGAGCTGAAGAGGAAGCACTCAGCCAAGGAGAGTGCTCCCTCACGCGCCGGCCGGGTGTCAGGGGGAGAGGAAGGAAATTTGAGGGAGGGAGGGGGAGGAAAGAAATTTGAGGGGGGAGAGGAAGGAAATTTGAGGGAGGAGAGGGTGAGGGGAAGGAAATTTGAGGGAGGGAGGGGGGGAGAGGAAGGAAATTTTGGGGGGGAGGAAGGAAATTTGAGGGGGGTGAGAGGAAGGAAATTTGAGGGGGGGAGGAAGGAAATTTGAGGGAGGGGGGAGAGGAAGGAAATTTGAGGGGGGGAGAGGAAGGAAATTGGAGCTGCTCATTATTATCATGCAGAGCCAACTTTGCCAGGAGTGCCGCTTGAGTCAGCTGATGAACCCCTGGGCGTTTTGCACGATGTAATGTCCATCCATGCTACTGACAACCGACAACCACATTGCCAGACCGTGACTCTGGAAGGGAAAGAGGTACAGGGGCTACGTGATTCCGGCGCTACCTTAACTTTGGTTGCCCCGCATTTGGTGTCAGGATCAGCACATACCGGGGGATCGGTAGCAGTCCGGGTAGCAGGGGGTGCCATGTACCGGCTACCAACTGCCAAGGTACATCTGAATTGGGGTGCGGGGGAAGGTATGGTGGAGGTGGGGCTGATGCACAAGTTACCAGCTGATGTTGTTTTGGGGAATGACCTGGGGCAAATGACTTCCGCTTTTGTGCCCCAAAGTCCTCGCCATGAGGCATATCCAGTGACCACCCGTCAGCAGGCTCGCACCACGGCTTCATCTTCCACACACTCTGAGGCTCAGGTAAGAGACAATGTACCCCGTGTAACCCGTGTTTCCTGGGATACCCCGACTGACTTTGAGGCAGAGGTTAAAAACGATCCCACGTTGCAAATTTATAAGGATAAGGCGACAGCTGGTCAGACAGGTTTAGAGGGAGAACAGTATGTATGGGAGAAAAATCTGTTATATCGTGTTGCTGAGCGGGTGGTAGGTGGGTCTGTACATGTGACTAATAAGCAGCTTATAGTGCCCCAGAAATACCGGCAGGAACTGCTTAGAATTGCCCACGATATTCCGCTGTCTGGGCATTTAGGGATGACAAGAACGAGGTACAGATTGACACATGTATTTTTCTGGCCAGGTATATCTAGAGATGTGAGACAGTATTGTCAGACATGTGACATTTGTCAGAGAGTGGGAAAAAGGGGTGACCGCCACAAAGCGAAATTGTGCCCCCTTCCCATTATTGAAGAACCCTTTAGCAGAGTAGCAGTGGATATAGTAGGACCACTGTCCAAGCCTAGCCCTTCCGGCAAGCGGTATATTCTGACCATTGTAGATTATGCCACCCGGTACCCGGAGGCTATAGCCCTTTCCAATATACAAGCAGAAACGGTAGCCGAAGCTATGATGAAGATATTTTCCAGGATGGGATTTCCCCAAGAGATAATTTCGGATAGGGGGACCCAATTTACAGCCGAAGTGACCCACCAGCTATGGAAGTTATGTGGCATTAAGCCAATTGTAAATTCTGCCTATCACCCGCAGTCCAATGGGTTGTGTGAGCGCTTTAACGGTACCTTGAAGCAGATGCTCAGGACATTTGGGGAGTCCCATAAAGACTGGGAGAGGGTTTTACCCCATCTGCTTTTTGCGTACCGAGAAGTGCCACAGGAATCTACCGGCTTCTCTCCGTTTGAGTTATTGTTTGGGAGAAGGGTGAGGGGACCCCTAGACTTAATTAGAGAACATTGGGAGGGGGGGAGCAGTGCAGATGGAGTCCACATTGTGCCATACGTGCTGGAGTTCCGGGACCGCTTGGAGGCTCTAACCCAAACCGTACGGGAGAACCTCCGGGCGGCTCAGCGGCGACAGCGCCGGTGGTACGATAGGGGAGCCAGAGACCGTAGCTTTCAGGTGGGACAGAAAGTTCTAATTTTGAAACCTGTCCGCACAGACAAGCTACAGGCCACCTGGCAGGGCCCATACCAAGTGGTAGAACAGAGATGTGACACCACTTATGTGATCGGCCCGTGCTCTGGGGTAGGGAAACGACGCATGCTCCATGTGAACATGCTCAAACCCTATCACCAGAGAATAGAGGAGGTAGCAGCCATCTGTGCCCCAGCCACTGAGGATTATGAGAATCTGCCCTTGCCAGACATGTTAGAAAAGGAAGATTCTGCAGAAAACGCTACAGGTGTGCAGCTGGGGGAGCGGCTAAGTCTCCAGGAGCGTGCCCAGGTACAGGAGTTGATTGCGGCAAAAGGTGCTACCTTCTCCAATTTACCAGGGTACACTCTGTTAGCTACCCACCGAGTAGAGACCCCAGGACAGCTCCCTATGAGACAGACTCTGTATCGTATCCCTGAAGCAGTAAGGGAGCACATGAGGAAAGAAATTGAGGAAATGTTACAGTTAGGGGTTATCGAACATTCAGATAGCCCCTGGGCATCACCGGTAGTGCTAGTACCCAAGAAGGATGGCACCACGCGGTTTTGTGTAGACTACCGGAGGCTCAATGACAAAACAGTGTCTGACGCCTACCCGATGCCCCGTATAGACGAGCTGCTAGATAGGATGGCAAGAGGCCAGTATCTCACTACCATTGATCTGTGTAAGGGATACTGGCAGATTCCACTAGCCGAGGAGGCCATCCCCAAGTCGGCGTTTGTCACCCCGTTTGGCCTGTATCAATTTCGGGTCATGCCTTTCGGGATGAAAAACGCTCCGGCTACCTTTCAGAGGATGGTAGATCGGCTACTGGACGGGTTCCAAGAGTACGCCTGTGCGTACTTAGATGATATAGCCATTTATAGCCAGACCTGGGCAGATCATTTGAAACATATTAGTGTGGTCATTGACCGTATTGGAGAGGCAGGGCTGACACTAAAACCTAGTAAGTGTCACATAGGGATGGCAGACCTTGAGCTGTGTCAGGGGCCTCAAAATTTCTGATGGCAGCCCTGTGTCCTCTATATATTCTCTCTATGTCCTCTATATGTCCTCTGTATAACCTCTATATATCCCCTAAATAACCTCTATATGTCCTCTATATAACCTCTATATGTCCTCTGTATAACCTCTATATATCCCCTAAATAACCTCTATATGTCCTCTATATAACCGCTATATGTCCTCTATATATTATCTATATATCCTCTATATAACCTCTATTGGCTGTCAGTGTATAATAATATAATACAGAGCGGTGTGTAATAATATAATGTATTGTATTGGCTGTCAGTGTGTAATAATATAATAGAGAGCGGTGTGTAATAATATAATGTATTGTATTGGCTGTCAGTGTGTAATAATATAATACAGAGCGGTGTGTAATAATATAATGTATTGTATTGGCTGTCAGTGTGTAATAATATAATACAGAGCGGTGTGTAATAATATAATGTATTGTATTGGCTGTCAGTGTGTAATAATATAATACAGAGCGGTGTGTAATATTATAATATATTGTATTGGCTGTCAGTGTGTAATAATATAATACAGAGCGGTGTGTAATAATATAATGTATTGTATTGGCTGTCAGTGTGTAATAATATAATACAAAGCGGTGTGTAATAATATAATGTATTGTATTGGCTGTCAGTGTGTAATAATATAATACAGAGCGGTGTGTAATAATACAATAGAGAGCGGTGTGTAATAATATAATGTATTGTATTGGCTGTCAGTGTGTAATAATATAATACAGAGCGGTGTGTAATAATACAATAGAGAGCGGTGTGTAATAATATAATGCATTGTATTGGCTGTCAGTGTGTAATAATATAATAGAGAGCGGTGTGTAATATTATAATATATTGTATTGGCTGTCAGTGTGTAATAATATAATACAGAGCGGTGTGTAATAATACAATATATTGTATTGGCTGTCAGTGTGTAATAATATAATAGAGAGCGGTGTGTAATAATATAATGTATTGTATTGGCTGTCAGTGTGTAATAATATAATAGAGAGCGGTGTGTAATAATATAATAGAGAGCGGTGTGTAATAATACAATATATTGTATTGGCTGTAATAATGATTGATTCCCTCTGATTGCTGTTTGATATGATTTTTATTTCCATGAACAAAGCCGGAAGTAGTTTGGGGTCTCCATGGTTCCCGCCGGAAGCGGAAGTGTCTGAACAGGAAGTGCCGGGTGTCGCACGCTGTGACCGGCATGGCGGGGAGTGAGGGAGACAAACGGCGCCGCAACATGAAACCCAGGGGCCCCGGCCAGCAGAACCCAGGGGCCCCCGAGCCCGGCCAGCAGAACCCAGGGGCCCCCGAGCCCGGCCAGGAGCCGCACGAGTCCGCCTTCCCCCCCACATTCAGCGTGTCCCAGATAAAGAACAAACAGCGCAGACATTTCATGTTCATCAGACTGAAACAGGAGAGACGGAAGGTGGGTGATAATAACAATAATAATAATCATAATAATAATCATACTGTGTGATAATAACAATAATAATAATCATAATAATAATCATACTGTGTGATAATAACAATAATCATAATAATCATACTGTGTGATAATAATAATAATCATACTGTGTGATAATAATAATAATCATACTGTGTGATAACAATAATAATCATACTGTGTGATAATAACAATAATAATCATACTGTGTGATAATAACAATAATAATCATACTGTGTGATAATAACAATAATAATCATACTGTGTGATAATAACAATAATAATCATACTGTGTGATAATAATAATAATAATAATCATACTGTGTGATAATAATAATAATCATACTGTGTGATAATAATAATCATACTGTGTGATAATAATAATAATCATACTGTGTGATAATAATAATAATCATACTGTGTGATAATAATAATATTCATACTGTGTGATAATAATAATAATCATACTGTGTGATAATAATAATAATAATAATCATACTGTGTGATAATAACAATAATAATCATACTGTGTGATAATAATAATAATAATAATCATACTGTGTGATAATAACAATGTAATCATACTGTGATATGTATAATAATAATCATACTGTGTGTGATAATATGTAATAATAATCATACTGTGTGATAATAATAATAATATCATATATTAATGATAATAATAATAATAATCATACTGTGTGATAATATAATAATATCATACTGTGAGTAATAATAATCTACTGTGTGATAATAATAATCATACTGTGTGATAATAACAATAATAATCATACTGTGTGTGATAATAATAATATCATTCTGTGTGATAATAATAATAATCATACTTTATTGATAATAATAATCATACTGTGTGATAATAATAATCATACTGTGTGATAATAATAATCATACGTAATAATAATCATACTGTGTGATAATAATAATCATTCTGTGTGATATGTAATAATCATACTGTGTGATAATAATAATCATACTGTGTGATAATAATAATCATACTGTGTGATAATAATATAATCATACTGTGTGATAATGATAATCATACTGTGTGATAATAATATATCATACTGTGTGATAATAATAATAATCATACTGTGTGATAATAATAATCATACTGTATGATAATAATCATACAACAGTGATAATATGTAATCATACTGTGTGATAATAATAATCATTCTGTGTGATAATAATAATAATCATACTGTGTGATAATAATAATCATACTGTGTGATAATAATAATCATACTGTGTGATAATAATAATCATACTGTGTGATAATAATAATCATACTGTGTGATAATAATAATCATACTGTGTGATAATAATAATCATTCTGTGTGATAATAATAATAATCATACTGTGTGATAATAATAATCATACTGTGTGATAATAATAATCATACTGTGTGATAATAATAATAATCATACTGTGTGATAATGATAATCATACTGTGTGATAATAATAATAATCATACTGTGTGATAATAATAATAATCATACTGTGTGATAATAATAATCATACTGTGTGATAATAATCATACTGTGTGATAATAATCATACTATGTGATAATAATAATAATCATACTGTGTGATAATCATACTGTGTGATAATAATAATAATCATACTGTGTGATAATAATAATCATACTGTGTGATAATAATCATACTGTGTGATAATAATAATAATCATACTGTGTGATAATAATAATAATCATACTGTGTGATAATAATAATAATCATACTGTGATAATCATCATACTGTAATAATCATCATACTGTGTGATAATAATCATCATACTGTGTGATAATAATAATCATACTGTGTGATAATCATAATCATACTGAGATAATCATAATCATACTGAGATAATCATAATCATACTGAGATAATCATAATCATACTGTGATAATCATAATCATACTGTGTGATAATAATCATCATACTGTGTGATAATAATCATCATACTGTGTGATAATAATAATAATAATCATACTGTGTGATAATAATAATAATCATACTGTGTGATAATAATAATAATCATACTGTGTGATAATAACAATAATCATACTGTGTGATAATAATAATAATCATACTGTGTGATAATAATAATAATCATACTGTGTGATAATAATAATAATCATACTGTGTGATAATAATCATCATACTGTGTGATAATAATCATCATACTGTGTGATAATAATCATCATACTGTGTGATAATAATCATCATACTGTGTGATAATAATCATCATACTGTGTGATAATAATCATACTGTGTGATAATAATCATACTGTGTGATAATAATCATACTGTGTGATAATAATCATACTGTGTGATAATAATAATAATCATACTGTGTGATAATAATAATAATCATACTGTGTGATAATAACAATAATCATACTGTGTGATAATAACAATAATCATACTGTGTGATAATAATAATCATACTGTGTGATAATAATAATAATCATACTGTGTGATAATAATAATAATCATACTGTGTGATAATAATAATAATCATACTGTGTGATCATCATACTGTGTGATAATAATCATCATACTGTGTGATAATAACAATAATAATCATACTGTGTGATAATAATAATCATACTGTGTGATAATAACAATAATCATACTGTGTGATAACAATAATCATACTGTGTGATAATAATAATAATCATACTGTGTGATAATAATAATAATCATACTGTGTGATAATAATACTGTGTGATAATCATACTGTGTGATAATAATAATAATCATACTGTGTGATAATAATAATAATCATACTGTGTGATAATAATAATAATCATACTGTGTGATAATAATAATCATACTGTGTGATAATAATAATAATCATACTGTGTGATAATTAATCATACTGTGTGATAATAAATCATACTGTGTGATAATAATAATCATACTGTGTGATAATAATAATAATCATACTGTGTGATAACAATAATAATCATACTGTGTGATAATAATAATAATCATACTGTGTGATAATAATAATAATCATACTGTGTGATAATAATAATAATCATACTGTGTGATAATAATAATAATCATACTGTGTGATAATAATAATAATCATACTGTGTGATAATAATAATAATCATTCTGTGTGATAATAATAATAATAATCATTCTGTGTGATAATAATAATAATCATACTGTGTGATAATAATAATAATCATACTGTGTGATAATAATAATAATCATAATGTGTGATAATAATCTTACACACCGGTCGCTCCTCCCATACCTCGCCTATATGTCTATCCTTACACTGGCTACCTGTATCCTATAGGTGTCAATTCAAAATACTAACCCTAACCTATAAAGCTCTAACCAACTCTGGCCCCCCTTATATTGCTTCCCTGATTCATAGGTATGCCCCTTCTCTTGTCCACTGCTCGCACCCTTGCTTTAACTCAGGCTTGCAGGACTGCTCGCGGGCGGCTCCCTTGTTTTGGAACAGCCTGCCCCCGTCAGACTCTCCCCTAGTCTTCAAGAAGTCCCTCAAAACACATCAGTTCAGAAATGCTTATGGACTCCCAGAGTAATTTTTCTTTACTTACCAAAGTCTGTCTCTTGCTCTCCTAAAGAGCCACACTCCATTCAGCTCCAGTTACGCTACTTTTCCACCTTGTTTGGTGGCTGTCACCCTTGCTGCCCTGTTGTGTATTTGTACCCCACCTCATCTACACTGTAAGCTCGTTTGAGCGGGGTCCTCAGCTACCTATTGTTCCTGTGTCACTATGTAAATGTCTCATGTATTGTAAATTCCCCCCCCTCCCCCCTTTTATAATATTGTAAAGCGCTGCGGAATTAGTTGGCGCTATATAAATACCAATAATAGTAATAAATATAAATAATTGAGATCCATTGACTGGGGAAGGGGGGGAGGGGTCTAATATATATGTGACCAGTGGGTGGGATCTAATTCTAATCTGTATGGGACCCAGTGACGAGGGGGAGGGGTAAAATATATATATATGGGAGTTTCACATGTCTTAGCTGATTAATCTGGTGGTACATCGTGCAAACAGTGTCTCACATAGTAGAATACAGTACCATGCTACAAGGCATACTATATGTATATCTTAGGGTTCTTTGATGTCCTGTCACGTGGATGGCAGGGATGGTTACCTGTGGCTACATTGTACAAACAGTTTGTTTAGCGGTATATTTATTTTTCTCTTGCAGGAGAAGCTCGCTGTTAAGAAGAAGCGTAAGAAGGAGAGGGATGCGCTGGGAGACAAGGTAATTCATGGTATCTTTAAACTGGAATCTCAGTCCAGAATCTCTACCACATGTTAGTAGAGACCTTTAGTTTCACTCTATTAAAAGTTATTTAAAGAGGCCTAAGCACCAGAACCACTAAAACGCACTGTAGTGGTTATGGAACCAGTTGTCCCCTGGCATAACTTGTAGGTATACTTTCAAACTGTTTGAGAATGGTTTGCCACTTACCTGTCACTGGCAGGCCGCTGTGGTCCTTGCGGCCTATGGTAACGCCGGACTTCCCACTGCTGCACTGTCATACCGACTTATACCAAGTTTCACCATTAATCATTGGCTGAGAATGACACAAAAAGTCCACTTTAATGTTCTGTAGTGATTATGGTGCTTAGTGTCTCTTTAACATAGTGTTTCTTCACGGTGAAAAGAACTGATAGCAATCTAAAATTCCCACCCAAGTTGAGCCATTTAATTTTGTCGCTCATTTATGCAAATTCTCGTACTGTTTTTTTTGAAAATGTGAGATACCTGTTAAGTTTCTACATTTTATTGCAAGCATGTCAGTGCTAACTGTTTTTTTTATATCTCTCTCTCTTACCAAGGCTCCTCCAAAACCAGTCCCCAAAACAATTGAAAACCAACGTATTTATGATGAAACCACCGTGGACCCGACTGATGAAGAGGTAATGGAGGAAAGATTCACCATTTGGCATGAAGTCATTGTGTAGCTAGTAATAACCTTGTAAATGCACTTCAGCTCCATCACTGGGTGTAAGACGCATTCAGGGCCAGGTTGTTAAACTAAAAGTGGAGGTTAATAATTTGTGTGTAATTACAGTGTGTATATATGATCCTTTCTGCGTTCTTATTTCAGCAGTTTTTTTTGTGTTTAAAAACCCCATATTTCTGAGGAACTCATTATTCACTTCATTTCAAGGAAGCCCCCAGGAACCAGCAACATGTCGCTGGTTTCTGACATTCGTACTCCAATCTGGAATCAGAGCCTGGCTGCAAATTTGACAGTGTGTCTTGTTTTCTAAAGTAGCTACTTTACCTTTAATTCCTTTAACCCTCTTGGTCTGAATGTCAGTTATACATCATTATTATCAGGCAAGGTAAAATCCCCAGCAACTGGGTATTCAGAAAACACACACAAATCTTTTAAATGAGAAGAAAAACATAATATTGTGTGTATGTGCGTGCATGATCTCTATGGCTATTCACATTACTCAAAATGGTTGAAATGTTACATTTATTCCTGATATTCCCACATGGAAAGTGAAATATGTAGAAAGTGCTGTTCTGGAGTAGAATACGAATACTAAAGGACCAGTCATCTAAATACCCAGCGTTAAGATTAGATTGCAGACCGATATCAAATGGCTAATTTTTTTTAATTTGGAGAGCTCCCTCGTTGGAGACGTATAAAGAGAGCATGTTTTTGTATTTAGAGTGCACCCACGATGCAGACGGATATTGAATGGCTGAATTATAAAAAAAATAAATAATAATAATTCAAAGCTTTCACGTTGGTGACAGGTTAGAGTGCACGTTTCTGGGTTTCTCCCACATTTGAGACTGGTATAAATAGCCCATTTTTGTATTTAGAGCGTTCCCACGTTAAGACAAAACATATATTTTATTTTTATTCTCACAGGTGCAATATGATGAGGCAACTGACGAATTTGCTCCTTACTTTAACAAACAGTCAACTCCAAAGATTCTGATCACAACATCGGACCGTCCTCGTGGGGTAAGATCTCTGCAATAAGCAGTATTGTGGTGAATGGATTCCGGTATGCACTGTTCTATTTCCCGCTCACATTAAAGGGACACTGTAGGCACCCAGACCATTTCAGCACATTGAAGTGATCTAGGTGCACTGTCTGCAGTTCTTTAACCCTGCAAAGGTAATTATTGCAGTTTTTAAGAAACTGCATATTACCTTTCAGGGTTAGCTCCAACTCTTGTGGCTGCCTACCAGACAGCCACTAGAGGGACTTTCAGGTGGTTAGGTGACACTTGGTCGTCTAAGTGACACTAGACGTCCTCACATTATGCATGGGGACTTCCAAAGTCAGCCAAATACTAATTGGAAAGCATTTTATAATGTTTTCTTATGGGGAAGTCCTATCTTGAGCTCGGCCATTGCCGCACATGCGCATTAGGTCTCCCCCGGCCAGCTAATGTCGGTGGGGGAGGAGCGAAGGCAGACCAGAGTCAGCACTGGATCCAGGTAAGTTACAGTAGGGGTTTCCCTTTAGTGTAAACAATAAAGTCGTCTGGTCGTCACTCTGCACTTGTAAACTGTTATCCTATTTTATGAACTGACATGAAACGTGTTGTGCTCTGGTTGCTGGAATAACATCTATCCTGACAGTAAAGCAATTCTGACATTAGGAAAACAGCCCTCATGCCCCGTGATGTCACGGTATGAGAACTGAGAAGTAAGATTCCTGGATTTCATACCGATAGGGCTTGGAGTCGTGACTTGAAGAAGCACCTCCTTCGAATTATTATGCTGCGGGGTCGAACTGCAGGCACTATGACTACCTCATTAAAAAAAGGGAAAGTTCCTCTTTTAAAGGACCACTCTAGGCACCCAGACCACTTCAGTTTAATGAAGTGGTCTGGGTGCCAGGTCCAGCTAGGGTAAACCCATTTTTTTATTAAAAAAAAGCAGAGAAACTGCTATGTTTATAAATGGGTTAATCCTTCCCCCAAAGCCTCTAGTGGCTCTCTCATTGACAGCCTCTAGAGGCGCTTGCGTGATTCTCACTGTGAAAATCACAGTGAGAGCACACAAGCGTCCATAGGAAAGCATTGATAATGCTTTCCTATGCGACCGGCTGAATGCGGGCGCAGCTTTTGACGCGCGTACGCATTCAGCCGACGAGGAGGAGGATCGGAGGCGGAGAGCTCTCCGCCCAGCGCTGGAAAAATGTAAGTTTTACCTCTTTTCCCCTTTCCAGAGCCGGGCGGGAGGGGGACCCTGAGGGTGGGGGCACCCTCAGGGCACTATAGTGCCAGGAAAACGAGTGTGTTTTCCTGGCACTATAGTGGTCCTTTAAATTTTCTCCAAGGAATAAAACATTGAAAATCGCCTAGGACTTGTGTTAACCTTTCTTTCATGAGATGCTCTTTTTTCAATTTTTTTATTTATATTAAATATTAGCAAATTACTTCATTATCCAGTTCAGACAAGGCACAGCTGGGGCACACATTGCAAATGAATAGGACATATCATTGTTATAAGCACTGCCCTTTACACCTGTCAGTCAGCATACAGAGGAGAAATTAAACCAGGCTAGATGGGCCGAATGGTTCTTATCTGCCGTCACATTCTATGTTTCTATGTTTCTATGTTAAACATTAATTTCTTCTCCTGTATGCTGTCAGGTGTAAAGGGGCAGCGCTTATAACAATGATTGACAGGGAGCTAAGATGGAGGTTGTTACGATTGCCCCCGGTCTAGCCAGGGGGGTTGATTGCTTGGATGTCCTGGTTCCCGCTGTAGAGAGTCGAACGGAGGTCCTTCGGTAATAAGCTGCAAGTGTAGAATATCCCAAACACGGTGTAAGCATCAATATCCCGGATCCCTACAACATGAGTCGAGGCTGCACGTTGAGGGTCAAAACTAACTGGCTTTACTGGCACACAAACATGGCAATTTATGCGATTCCTCAGGTCCAAGGACAGCCCCCTGTGGACCTGATGGAATACAGGTACAGTACAAACAGGTAACCAATCACAGTACAGTGTATCATTTGAATTAGTACCCGCCCAGCTTGGAGATAATGAGGCCAACGGTTATACAATCTAATTATCTCCAAGCGCACAACAGACCACGTTTTATTATGCCTCATAAAACTGTATAAAAATACATAACTTTAACATCAATAGGGGAAAACAGTTAATTCTACCATTCATTTAATAGCTCGCGTTCGGGTACATTAAACATACGAATGGCGCTCCAATCCCACGAACAGAATGATCTATTTCTGCCGTATAAAGTCCATTCGGTATTTTGGATCGTGAGTCCCTGATGGCGGCCATGTTTTTAGACGGTTTAACGAGCAGCGGGACCTCGCCCTCCAACTTATGGAACTGAACTCGGGTATAAGTTCATGCGAATCCCCGCTCTGTCTGGTAGTGGAACCCATTCGGTACATGAATGAGGACCACCTGGTAGCCTGGTACTTGAGTTGGGGTTAACCGCAGAAACAGCAGGCTAATTGCTGCCACACGACCCACTGTAGGGGTTCTCCGTTCGTGAGGTTATTCGGTAGGTTCCCTTCGGTGATTTGTGGGCGAACGTCGATCCTCCTGGCCCGTCAATTAGTCTGTGGTTAACCGCAGCCGCCTGGGTGGATAATGGGCGCCACACTCCGCTTGTCGGGTGGTCGACCGTTCGGTACTTTGCGGGGTGAAGAGGTTAATTGGCAGCACACGCCAGCGTTTGGGGGTCTCTCGTTCGTATCACGAATGGGTCTTTATAAGAATTCGTATAATCCATTCGTGTTTCCCTGGGTTAAACGTATAGGGTTGTAACAGTAGCAACATGTAATAACAAAAATGGAGTCATTTCGAGTCTTTTGTAACAGAGGTGGCGCTCTCTATGCTGACTGCCAGGTGTAAAGGGCGGAGCTTATAACAGTGATTGACAGGGAGCCAAGATGGAGGTGGCTCTCTCTATACCGACTGTCAGGTGTAAAGGGCGGAGCTAATAACGATTGACAGGGAGCTAAGATGGAGGTGGCTCTCTCTATGCTGACTGCCAGGTGTAAAGGGAGGAGCTTATAACAATGATTGACAGGGAGCTAAGATGGAGGTGGCTCTCTCTATACTGACTGCCAGGTGTAAAGGGCGGAGCTTATAACAATGATTGACAGGGAGCTAAGATGGAGGCGGCTCTCTCTATACTGAACAGGGACCACCCTGACAACTTATTTAGAATGTTGGTTCAGAACATTTGCACCTTGTAATAAGGTGTCAAAACCACAAACCACAAGGGAAGCCTCAGCGCGTGCCTCCACTGGGTGGTGGTCCGTTCGTTATATGAACGCCGTCCAAGGGGAGAATTTGTGGATTAAGCCATTAAACATAGCAGTTTCTCTGAAACTGCTATGTTTACAGCAGGCAGGGTTAATCCTAGATGGACCTGGCACCCAGACCACTTCATTGAGCTGAAGTGGTCTGGGTGCCTATAGTGGTCCTTTAAGGCCAAAGCAGCCAAACTGGAAGCATCGGAAAAAGAGATAAAAACAGCGCTAAATTGCCACAATAAAATTATTAGGAAAGGCAGCACTCCTCAAAGGGGAGTCCCCAATAATCCCCTAATGGTAACAGATAGCAAAAACAAACAAAGATATAAGGATGCGCCTAAAACTCCTACTTTCTACTTGAAGAAGCCTGTTAAGGCGAAACGCGTTTAGATATTTATAGATTTTGTTCTTAATTTTATAATTAAGATATTTTATTGGCATAAAATACTTTATTGCCATTTGCTTTCTCCTTTACTTGATTTTACATACATTTTCTTTTATTTGATTTTACGTATACGGCTCACCCTGCAGGAAGTGCAATGAATCCATAGGTGGGGATTATACCACCTGAGCGCCTTCACTGAGCAGTTTTGAGTCTGCTCTACTTTACGTGTGTAGTATACTTTACTTTCTTTTAATTTTGGATTACATACAGTGAGCACTATATATTTTATTTCATTTTTTCCTCTGGGTCGTATTACGTCAAATTGAACGCTGAACCCACGTCAGATATTCAACTATCAAAATTCACTCCATATATCCTTGAAGTGGGGATCATTCCACTTTACGCGAGCAATATCAGAGCTGATCCTAGCTCTGAAAAGTATACGATCCCATCTACACCCTAAAGAATATTCCTTTACAAGTGGGACCTACCCTCACGGACTGTGATAAGCCTATTTTACTGGACTACTGTTTTATTACTTATTTTATTTTGTATTTTATCTGACTAATTTAGTCCTTTATTTTATCATAATTTTAAGTTTTAGGCGCATCCTTTATATCTTTGTTTGTTTTTGCAAACTGGAAGCATCGCTGACTTAGATCATTTTTTCATTGTGGCTATTTGGACATTCAGTTTGATTTCTCAAATTAGTGAATAATCTTGTGTTTGTGATATTCACTACTCACATTCTTTCAGAACAGCCAGATTATTCTATAAGGTGAACATTAGCCCTTTAAAAGGAAAATTGATTTATCGTCTCTGTTTTGGGTTTGAAGGGTTGATTATTTCCAGATTAGACCATAATGATCTGTTTTATTCTGTTTCAGAGAACAGTGAAGTTCACACAGCAATTATCCACCGTTATTCCCAACTCCCACGTGTATTACCGCAGGGGTCTGGCCCTGAAAAAGATTATCCCACAATGTATTGCCCGTGGTTTTACGGACCTTATTGTCATCAATGAAGATCGGAAAGTAGCGAGTATCCTTTTCTGCAATATTCCAGTAATTCTTACCAGAGTAAAAATTTATAAAACAGTCCACACAGTCCTAAATCGTAACTTGTCCTCTGTTTGTGTCCCATATTATACAGTGATAGATTTATTATAAATATATTATTTAGTGCCAGTAAATGTATTCTCCTGTGAGCTGGGAAACTAAAACTTTATGTAAATGGTTAAAGGGACGCTACAGTAATCCAGACCACTTTATCTTAATGATGTATCTCATAAAGTGGTCTGGGTGCAGTGTCCCTGTCCTTTTAACTTTACTATGTTTATATTGCAGGGTTGAGCCCAAGTGGTTGGAGGGGGGGGGGTGGCTGGTGCAGTCTGTTGCTGTTGTCTTTCTTTTGGGCAGGTTATATTGCTGGTTACAGTGTGTTTAGATTTTGTCATTCTATTCTGAGAACTTTTTGATGTGTTTACTGCATTTCCTTAGACCAAAAACTCTAGATGGGCTTATTCTGAGTCACCTACCTGAAGGGCCAACAGCTCATTTTAAAATGAGTAGTGTTCGATTACGGAAAGAAATGAAGGTAAGATGTCACACAGTGAAGGGGTTTTAAAGGCGTGCTATGATGTCACGCAGTGAAGGGATTTTGGAGGCGTGCTATGATGTCACGCAGTGAAGGATTTTAAAGGCGTGCTATGATGTCATGCAGTGAAGGGATTTTAAAGGCGTGCTGATGTCACGCAGTGAAGGATTTTAAAGGCGTGTTATGATGTCACACAGTGAAGGGTTTTGGAAGCATGCTATGATGTCACGCAGTGAAGGGGTTTTGGAGGCGTGCTATGATGTCACGCAGTGAAGGGGTTTTGGAGGCGTGCTATGATGTCACGCAGTGAAGGGGTTTTGGAGGCGTGCTATGATGTCACGCAGTGAAGGGGTTTTGGAGGCGTGCTATGATGTCACGCAGTGAAGGGGTTTTGGAGGCGTGCTATGATGTCACGCAGTGAAGGGGTTTTGGAGGCGTGCTATGATGTCACGCAGTGAAGGGGTTTTGGAGGCATGCTATGATGTCACGCAGTGAAGGGGTTTTGGAGGCGTGCTATGATGTCACGCAGTGAAGGGGTTTTGGAGGCGTGCTATGATGTCACGCAGTGAAGGGGTTTTGGAGGCGTGCTATGATGTCACGCAGTGAAGGGGTTTTAAAGGCGTGCTATGATGTCACGCAGTGAAGGGGTTTTAAAGGCTTGCTATGATGTCACGCAGTGAAGGGGTTTTGGAGGCTTGCTATGATGTCACGCAGTGAAGGGGTTTTGGAGGCGTGCTATGATGTCACGCAGTGAAGGGGTTTTGGAGGTGTGCTATGATGTCACGCAGTGAAGGGGTTTTGGAGGCGTGCTATGATGTCACGCAGTGAAGGGGTTTTGGAGGCGTGCTATGATGTCATGCAGTGAAGGGGTTTTGGAGGCGTGCTATGATGTCATGCAGTGAAGGGGTATGGATGCGTGCTATGATGTCATGCAGTGAAGGGTTTTGAAGGCGTATTATGATGTCACGCAGTGAAGGGGTATGGATGCGTGCTATGATGTCATGCAGTGAAGGGTTTTGAAGGCGTATTATGATGTCACGCAGTGAAGGGGTATGGATGCGTGCTATGATGTCATGCAGTGAAGGGTTTTGAAGGCGTATTCTGATGTCACACAGTGAAGGGGTATGGATGCGTGCTATGATGTCATGCAGTGAAGGGTTTTGAAGGTGTGCTATTTAATTGAAACATGTTAAAATGCAACATTAACAAATAAAACAGCTAAAATGTAAAACAATATCTTCAGCTGCATAATGTATAAAACTAATATTCTAAACCTGATGGGCTCCTAGTGATCTTTGCATCTGATGCATGGTTGCACTGCTTGGGGCCCTGGTATGTAGGATGGAAATGAAATCTGGATTTACAAGTTTGCTATTTAAATTTTAATAGAGGAAAGGAAAGGATCCTACGGAGCACCAACCAGAGGTTATTCTGAATAACTTCAGCACCCGCCTGGGACACTCCATTGGCCGCATGTTTGCGTCACTTTATCCACACGATCCACAGTTTACGGGGAGACAAGTGGCGACTTTCCACAACCAGAGAGACTACATCTTTTTCAGATATCACCGGTATTTATCATGGAGAGCACAGTCTTTCTGATCCTTTACAAATATCAGAAACCTTCACACCGCATCCAATATTTTAGTTTTCTGTTGGCAGAGTGTGTTGTCTTCATGTGTGCCGTATTTGGAGCAATTCATTTCATTTCCCCTCACTCTCACTCTTGGAGGTATACTGAAATGGAATGACTGCAAATAGGCGAGCTTTGAATAAAATCTGTGTGTCTGTGTGCGTGCATTCAAAATAATGAAGAAATCAAACCACCACTTTTCAGAACACTGTGATAAATATCTCCAATGTGTTGTCATTATCTGAAAATAATTTAGATGAAGGGGTTTAGGTACTTAGAGCATCCCAGAAACTCCTGCTGGTAAGACTTTCAGGATGAGTGTGTGTGATCAGAGGGGGTTTCGTTGAACACGTTTATGCCATTATTTTATTGTTTCTTATTGCTGTATATTGCCAATGAGTGGATTCCTCTCTTTCTTTGACAGGTATATTTTTAAAAGTGAGAAGAAAGCAGGTATTCAGGAACTTGGCCCTCGATTTACACTGAAACTTCGATCGCTTCAGAAAGGGACATTTGACTCCAAGTATGGGGAGTATGAGTGGGTCCACAAGGTACAGTATAGCAGGGGTGTGATCCTGGTTGTCTGTATACTTACACAATCTGTATTATAGAAAGGAAAGTGTGAAACACATTGTTTGAAGCGCTGACATTTTAAGTTGCTCGCTACTAACTATTATTATTTTTCCAGCGGCATGAAATGGACACAAGTCGAAGGAAGTTCCACCTATAAAAGGCCCACGTCTGCGTCGCACATCAGTAAATGTGGAATGATATGGATTTAGTTACTGGGAGTTATGGATACATTCCCCAAATTGTTTGCTCTGTTTTGTTCTGAGGCCCTTCCTGCTTTTGAAGTAAAGAAGCTTTCATTATAATTTTACCTTGATCATCAGGCTGCATAATTATTCGAGTGAATGAGCAGTAAACCTGCCATGATGGCTTAATGGAATGCCTGTCAGCTCTGGGGTCTTCCTAATGGGTTCACATGGTATTCCCAATTTATAACATTGTCTCCCGGAGATCCCCCATTTGCCCATAACAATCTAACTCAGCCACCTTGATGTCCGAGACATGTGGACACTCCAGCTCAGTGTATACCGATTTAGAAAGTAACAATGCTGGGTTTTACCCCCCCTGTTCCTGGCCTGACATTGGTTTGAATGGAAGAGAGAATGTCACTTTAATACAATTTACACCACTGAATAAACAAACCAAAATATCAGCCAGAACGTGTGATAACCTTTCATAATGCTTTGTTGTCTTTTACTAAATATTGAATATAAAATGTAAATTACATCAAAATCCAGCCTAGGGCAATAACTGCAATCATTGTTTCATGCCTCCTGCATGCTCTCTCTCTGCTGACTGCCAGGTGATTGATGGAAGGCATACAGCTACAGGATTTGAATATTTAATTAGTAATTCCTGTGAATTGGCTCCGTTAGGATGTAAACACGGGGATCGCCTGTTTATTAAATGCTTGATAATATCTGAGTGTTGTGGATTTTATATATATATATATATATAAAAAAAAAAGTAGGAAGTGTAACAGTCTGCACCATTGTACTAATTGTTTTCTCCCCGGATTGTCACTATAATCACGTGATTTATGGCTTAGAAATGTTAAATTAGAAGTAAAAGGTTGTGATATTAATCATTGACTGCATTAGCATTGCCCAGTACCGTGTGTTAGTGTAAATAGCGCTCAAAGTCTCAAACACTGATGTGGACAAATATCACATACTTTTTATAAACAAGGGCCACCATGGGCTTAGAATGCAGCGTCTGGGAATGTACCGATCTGTAACATACAGGCAGAGCCTTTGCCAATACAGGTTGTATTATACTTACCTAGATACTCCCCAATACCAACCTAAAAATGACCGGTTTTATTACAGGGATATCTCCCAATCCATACTATTGCTCATAGGGTGGAACATGTAATTTCCTGTTTGGTTAGATAGGCCTTTAAAGTTACTTGTTTCTGCTTACCTGGAGGGTCCACAGTCAGGGTGCGGGGAGGGAAAGCTGTTAAGTTTAATTGATATGATTTCCTGAATGAAAGGCTAGAAAAGTCTTTAAGGCAAGCATCAGAGGTATGAACCCAGCCAGCAGCAGGGTCTGCATTTATCCTGATGCTTAGATTGATTATTCCAGTCTTGGTTAAATTAAGGATCACTAGCCATTGGGAAGAGAACATTTAGTCACGGACAGCAAGTAGAATTTCCCCGCACCCTGACTCTTCTCCTGCAGCTGTCATCAATACACTAGCCCTGAGTGAACGCTCATTAAGCAGGGCCCTCTCTTACTGTATCCAACTTGTCTGGTTACAAATGTGTCTTAGTCCATCTATTGTACAGCACTGCAGAATTTGCTGGCACTTTAATTTACCAGATTCTTCTTTCCCCTACAAGAAGCACTACCTACACCTAGAATTTGGCCTTCTGCCAGAACAGCGGAGTATTATCAATAAGAAATTGGAGCAGTTCCTCCAATTCAAGACACAGAGCTTGATGGTCTTGTTTAAATTGTCAGTGTAGAGGACCTGGTCCCTTCTTGTTGATTTACATCTAACGTTGTTGCATTATCGTATCTTATTTGAACATCCTGTTTCCTTAAATGTGCTGTGGCAGACAGGTTGGAGTTCCTCAGAATTGGGTAATTGCTGCCTTCCAATAGAAAGTCTAGAAGGGTCCACTTGCATCTGTGGTTCTTGCCCGGTGATGGAAGGAGAGGACTTTTTCCAGAAATCCATTGTAGATTTCTGACTGAATCCATGTAAACATTTGTGATTCCACCATGAGGCTATCTTGGTGATGTTGTCAGAGACTGTTTAAAGAAACATTGCTAGAGAACTGGCTGCCTTGTGCAGTTTGTCAGCCCTCAAGGCCGGTGGCTGCAAGCAATGGAGACGGGCAGTGGGGGAGCTGTAGTCTTCCTGCTGTGATGACAGGAGCCAGAATCTTGAAGCTCTCAGCCAATCGAATAGGACTGCATTGGGTGCCAGTCAGCATCTCCTCAGATGCATTAAATCAGTTCATCTCTATAGGGAACATTCAATGCAGAGCGTAGGTGCTTCAAACTATGCAGCCCTGACTTAGGATGCAGCTCTAGAGGTAGTTTGAGTGACTGTCACAAGAGATATTCGTAGACTGCAGTGTAAATACTGCTTTTTCTCAGAATAGGCAGTTTGTACACTAATAAGCCTGCAGTGACTGACTGCATTAAGCGGTTCTGGTGACTAGTGTCCCTCAAAAGACTTATTTTTGTTGTTGAAAAAAAAATCTTTTCATTAAAACAAAAACACTTTAGCAAGTTTGTCAATCCCTATCCTACAGGGCTTTCATATTTTGGAACCATTATTCCAAGTTTCAGGTTTTGGTGGTATGATTGCTTAGTAGAGGGCACTCTGTGCGTATCTTCTACACTGGGAGGGTGCCTGCAATGGCATACAGGCACCTCAAATGTGTTCCACTGCAGGAATATTAAAACAGCTGGGGGACCAAGGCCTCCAAGAAAAGAAAAAAAGTCAACCTCAAAGACAGGCAGAAAACAAGGTACAAGAGGCCACATGATATTTAACCCCTTAAGGACACATGACATGTGTGACATGTCATGATTTCATTTTATTCCAGAAGTTTGGTCCTTAAGGGGTTAAACTAATACATAACTGTCCTACAGCAGGTAGGACAAACTCAAGGTATAACTTTCCACCTGTGTGAAAAAAAAACAAAAAACTTCATATTCTAGGGGTGTCTAACGTGGCAGTCATTTTGTATCCATGACTGTTTGGCATTCTTTTCTCAAGGAAAAAAAGTTCCCTACATAAAAGCAGCTGGAGGTTTGCATGAAACCAATCTGGTTATGCTACGATTTTCCTCCATGGCACTACCATCAGCTCTACCTCACTGCCTAGGTGTTCTGGAACTTAAGTCTCTTCACCCTCACATACAGCCAATTGCCAAATCCTGCCACTTCCATCTCAAAAACAGCATGCATCCGCCCCTATTTAGGGCCGGACTCAGCTGAAGTGTTGTTCCATGCCGTCATCTGGCCCCGTTGCAGGTTTATAACGAATGCAGCTGTAAGGTTCTTCATCTTCCTGTCTGCCCACCCCCCCCTCCACAATTATGTCCCGTCTATGCCCATACACTGCCAGAGATCTACGTCTATCCTCTGTTCCTATTCGCAAATATAAAGCTTGTCTGCAAGACTTCCCTAGGGCTGCACCATTCCCGTGGAACCTCCCTCTACTTAAACTGCCAATAGCTTTCCCTCTGCACTAACCTTACCCTTTGTGTCCCTCTAACATATAAACTTATTGAGCTCTGTTCCTGTGTGTCCCAACTTGTCTGATTACATTTACATATTTGTTAAACCACCCATAGTGCTGTGGGAGTTTGTTGGTGCTTTGCACTGAGCACCCAGAGTATGTTCACCAAACCATGGATTGAATAAAGGAATCATTATGGTTTAATGTTTACAATCTCCAGTTTAGTAAATAATTCTATGTTTTATGCAAATTCAAGTTAAAATACCAAATAATGTGTTCATGATGCACAAGAGACAATGTTACCACGAAATGCTTTTTTTATTTTTCGGATTAGTGGCTGCCAGTGTATAAAAAGTATTCTGAAGTTAGGAAAGAAAGGCACGTCATTTGGAGTAGCTCACCCCGGAGAGGTAGAGATGTAGAAAGAAGACTTGGCACGTCACAAGGCAAAGCTTTTTATAGGTTCAGTCTGGACTCCATCGACCCTCAAAAAAAGGAAATCTAGACAGGAACAAAACGAACAGGAATTTCAATAAGTCTTATTAAATGTGTATACTACCATGCCCTGTTTGCACAAGTCAAGCAATGCCAGGTATGAATGAGGTCTAGCCATTGTAGTCACTGAGGGCTGTTTGGAGTGTCAATCAATTATCACTACTGGCAGTGATCTATGAAGGCCTGTGCCAACCATGGCTACCTGGGCATTGACAAGCCAAATTGTGAATTCCATGCTTCCATCTCTGGATGAACGAATGCATACACCAGAGAGACTGGGACAAGCTTGGCAGATATTAAACGGCCATTACATATTAGTTTACAATTCTGTAGGCTAAATGATTAACCACATGACAGTCTATGACATCACGCAGTGCAGGTCTTTACTGCTCAGTGATGGCACAGACCGTCATGAGTGGAAGTACCAACAGGGGTTAATTCCCTGCTTTTACCAAGCAACCCAGGTATCTTGATACAGGGAGATCCCCTGTATTGTAAAAAACCCACTTCACACAATAGCACCATTATCCCCAATATACAAGAGAATTGATTCAAGGACAACTGTTTAGGAGAATAGTTAGATTTAAACCAGACCTACCTTTTGGGTGAAAAATAAAATAAAAAAAAGTTTAAAAAGTTTACAGGAAGGAGCAGACTTTTTGGGGTCGAAAGGGATTTGTACTCGAGGAAACTCCAGTGAGAAGAGGATCATGTGGAGCATTCTGTATACAGAACTGCTTTAAATCTGCTGCAGCCTGCGATACCTGGAGACAGAAAGAGCAATAGAAATACATTTAATCTATTTTATAAAACATAAAATGTGCTTGTTAATTAAGATTAGATAAAGTGTGAAGAATTTAAAGGGACACTATATAGTCAGCAGAACAACTTTAGCTTAATGAAGCGGTTAGTGTTATCATGCCCCTGCAGTCACACTGCTCAATTCTTTGCCATTTAAGAGTTAGATCACCTTTGTCTGTTTATGCAGCCCTAGCCACACCTTCCCTGGCTGTTACACCATGCATGGTGCTTACTTTTACATTTTTATCTCCTGCTCTGTAATTACAGACAGGAGGCTCCTGCAGGATATCGGATATGGCCATTAACTGATCAGGAGGTAAGATGCTAAATTAAACAGAATTTGCAATAAAAGTAGTATAAACATGAGAGGACTCTTTACAGGAAGTGTCTAGGAAGGCTGTGTAAGTCACATGCAGAGAGGTGTAGCTAGGGCTAAATAAACAAAGTGAAATAACCTTAAAAGGAAGAGAACTGAGCAGTAATACTGCATGAGAGATCGAGACACATCTGCCTTATTAGGCTAAAGTTGTTTTGGTGACTATATTGGTTAACTGCTATCACACTGATGTGTTTAATCCATTTTATAGTACATAATACAATAGGCGATGACACAAGTTATACCAGCACACTGAATATTATCCAGAGAGTTACTATTCAGATTGCAGGGAGGGAGAGCGTGGCGCTAGATATAGAGAGGGATCTGCAAACACCACATTTCTCTGTTCCCTCACTCAGTAAAATGGTACAGAGGTAAGTGAAAGACTGCACTTACCTCTGCAGCCCATGTGTTGACTAACAATTGGGGAGTACACCCTGGCTAGTAGCATACAGAGCATTTCAAGGCCTGTTGAGTGACCACAGCATCGCAGGGGTTAAATCTAAACATTCCCATTTCTTATTACCCAATACAGTGAGTCCTTTTAGATGCAGTGGTCATGGTATTAAGTGTCCCTTTAAGGAAATGCTAGAATGAGGTTAAAAAGAATATGGAAGTGACAAGAGGATAAGACTGAGTAAAATGTGAGAGCACGCAGTCAGAATGAGAGCGCTGGTGTTCACGGGAAATAAAAAGGTGCTGTGACGAACAGAACCTCGCCACAGGCTCCTGGAGGAGCCTGCTTGCCAGCCTCCGAACTATTGCCGCTGCAATATACCTTGTCGAACACACTTTAATTGGCTCTGTTCGTGTGGTTTGGGAAGAGAGCAGCCGCACGAACCAGAGCTTATTAAGCCTAATTGACAGTTTATAACACGTTCCACCGCAGTGTTCTAATTGTTCGTCTGGGTGAACGCTGTTTGCATGAACTACCATGAGGCGACGGCCATCTTGTTCCCACAAACGCAGCCAGCGGTGTTTGGGAATGAATCCCAAGGAACTGAAATCGGAAACAGAAATTCCCAAACACCGCTGGACTTCCAGCATCACATGTGTTCGGTTCTACACAACTTAGAAGGGCACTGTTCGGTGGAAACATTACCATGCACAAGGTAAACAATCTCCAGGGTAAGAACATTGACTATGTTCGTTAGGTTTTTAAACTACCAAACGCAAGCCCTGATTCTCTGGAACTGTTTTGGGCACGGACCATTCATGTGGTCGATCAAATAATTGACTCCCATGAAAATCCCGAACCGATCTGAGTGATTTTTGGATATGTTGGTCACCCAGATCGGGGCTATTATGGGGATGTAACTTTTGGGGGGTTTTCATATGTTTTGGGGGTACATTTGATGCATTGCAGGTTTTCTGTACTGGGAGAATTTAATTTAGACGTGTACTTTGCAGCAGTCTCCTCTCAGGTTCAGTGGGTAATGCCCCTGGAATGTTATTTAGGAAAACCATGGCATGGGGTGTTGCCTAAAAGGCAGTGTGTGGCTTCCAATAAAGCCATTCACCCACAACATAGAGCAGGCTTCCCCAAACTCCGGACCTCCAGATGTTGCTGAACTCCAACTCCAATGATTCTATGAAATAAATAGATAGGCTGAGAATCACTGAAGTTGTAGTTCAGAAACATCTGGAGGGCTGGAGTTTGGGGACACCTGGCATAGAGCCTCTTCTCATGTAGGGAGGGGGGAAGCTATACCTGCTATACTCTCTTGGAGGAGCAATCTTCCCACTGTGAGCTGGATCCAGGTGTTGGTCCCGGGTGTGTGGAAGACAGAGACCCCAGCCAAGGGGACTCAAGCGGCACTTAAGGGGACTGATACTAAGAAGCAGCGATTGGCAGAAGTACCCAGTTGGGGTGTGACGGAACGCTGGCACTCCGACTGAGTACCTCCGCCAATCGATGCTCCTAGTGCTCGCTGAGGACTCCAAGCGACACCATCAGCACTGCAGACCCCACTTCCAGCGATGCAACTGCGCCGGTGTCTCTGCTGTTTCCACCCACCCTGGACGCAAGGCTAGGATCCAGCTTCCAGTGGGTGAACCTCTTTCCCCAGAGAGCAGGAACAAATCAAGCTATTGCAAGAGCTTCCTCTGGGGAGTAAGTGATTATAGCAATCCCCAGAGTGTAGGTATCCCTTCCCCCAAACATGAGCCAAGGCTTAATGCTGGAACAAGACTGATTTACTGGCACACAGAACTCACAATTTATGCAACACAAAAATCCTCCTCTGGGCCAGGCTAGATAATTGAGTTTCTACAATACACAAAGCTCAATTATCTGCTGGCCAGAAATAATACAGTTTCATAAGACACACAGGGACCCCAAAACATGCAATAACCCCATAAAAAGTATATCCTTGGAACCGGGGGATCTGGGTGAACCACATATCCAAAATTCACCCAGATCCGTTCAGTACTTTGGAAAATACAGTTTAATGCAGATTATGCAGAACATATACAGGCTAAATGAAAAACAATCCCTTTATAATGTGTGCCCTGTTGTATAGTCCAAAACCACTGCACGATGTCTCTGTGCACCAAATACTGGCGAGATGGCACCGTGTTGAAAAGTCCAAACAGTGTCTGTGAGTTAAAATGGCCGCCATCCATTGTTCTCACCATGTGCTTCTGATACAGGAAATGGTGGCTACCCAGTAAC